TAGTAAGTAAGGCTATGAGTAGGTTATAATTAGGAGAACCCCACTTAGGGGACTTATAACCCCAATTATAAGCTACTTACTGAGTCCCATGATCCTCTAAGTACCCTAAACTCCCCCTTATAGAACCCTTATAAACTTTTCGATCCCTTAAAGGAGCCCTTTAAAGGAACCCTAGGGCTTCTTACCTAGTCCCATGATCCTCTAAGTAGACATGGACCCCTGCAAATGACAGGGCTCCCTGAGCCGGGGACACCTCGTGGCCATCATCCTGGCAGCCGGGGCCACAAAAACGGGTCAGAATCTATTCTAGGGGTTTAGAGTTTAGGGGTTAGGGGTTTAGGGGTTAGGGGTTTAGGGATTAGGGTTTGGGGGACCCAAGAGTAACCTAGGAATAAAAGGGTGCCCTTTCTGGTTTAAAGGGGCTTCTAAGGGCACCTGAACCCTTGAACAAGGGAATAAGAGCCGAGTCTGGGTCCTTGTATTAGAAACCTTAACATGGAAATTATCCCACTGGCCCAAAACCCAAGGAAATAAACGTTGAAACTTTTTGAATCGACTACCTTATAAGAACCCCCAAAGTTGAAAGGTTGAGTATACAGCCAATAAGCAGTTTGAAGTTGAGTTAGATTTTTCAAAACCGGTCAGATCTTGAAGTTGAATTAAACTGCGGGTTGTTTAAACGCTCATGAAGAGTTTTACAGGAGGTTTATGTTTCAGGGGCTTGATCAGAGTAAGGTTGAGTAGTATATAGGGCTGTTTAGTGGGCTTACAGTGGTAAGGAGGATGACTAGATGAGGGTTCCGCAGGGGTGTGTAAGGGATCTACAGTACACTTTAAACTTCACTCAACGGCAGCTTCTGCCATGCTGTTGTTTGTGTTTTCGTTCGGTTTTTTCGGCGCATACCCTCAATAAACTCAAGCTCTGAAACCCTGAAGCCCTAATTACACACTGAAAGAATACGGTCCCCAGTCTCGCGAAACACCAAGGGTTCCCTTTCGACACCATTTTTCCTACTAATTTCTTTTATACCCTAAACCCTAGACCCCGAGATACAAGAAAAATGACAAAAAGGGAGCCGAAAAGCCCTTTATAGGGTTTTTTGTAACAGCCTCAGCCCAAACAACAAGGAAGCAAACAAGTAAAACAACACCCTGAACCCTGAATCCTAAACCCTCTAATCTGGATCCTAAACTTCAACCCGAGTCGAATCCTAGACCCTAAACCATAAAACCCGAAACCTTAAAACCCTAAAAACCCTAAAAACCTTAAACCCTCAACCCTACACCCTAAAGCCCCTATAGCCCAAACCTCAAACCGTAAACTCCCAAACAACAAAATCTCCGAGTCGAATCCGGCCCAGGGCACGTTCCCACTCTTCAAAACTCAAGGATTCATGTACCCAAATAGAAAAAAGTCCCTAGGGATCTAAGGACTCATATAAACTAAACCCCAAGCACAAAACCCTAAACTAAACCCAAAACCCTAAACTAAACCCTAAACTAAACCCCAAACCCAAAACCCTAAGCTAAACCCCAAAACCCTAAACTAAACCCCTAAACCCTAAACTAAACCCAAAATCCTAAACTAAACCCTAAACCCTAAACCTTTACAGAATCCCTATGGATCCCTTTAAAGGGACCCCTAAAGGCCCAGGTGCCGCGGCCTAAACCCCGCGGGGCGCCTTCCCACTCTTCGATGCCAAGTCCCTGTAACTCAGGAGATGGCCCGGGCCCGAAGCATACTGGAAAATTGGGCTGCGGAGAGACAAGACGAGTTTGGGTTTAGGGGGTTTAAGGGTTTAGGTTTTAGGATTCAAGAGTTTGGGGTTTGGGGGTTTAGAGTTTAGGGGTTCAGGGGTTTAGGGTTTAGGGGCTTAGGGTCTAGGGGCTTAGGGTTTAGGGGTTTGGGGGTTTAGGGCTCCGGGTTAAGGTTTGGGTTTACTGGAAAATTGGGCTGACGGAGAGACAAGACGAGTTTGGGGGGTGTTTGGAGTTTAGAGTTTGGAGTTTAGAGGTTGGGGTCTAGGCCTCAGGGTTAGGGTTTAGGGTTTAGGGTTTAGGGTTTAGGGCCTCCGGGTTAGGGTTTGGGTTTATTGGGCTGCGGAAAGATAAGAGTTTGGGGCTTAGAGTCTTAGGGTTTGGGTACATCGCGTAGTACGCTTGAATATACAGGCCTACAAAGGGGAGACAGAGGGAAACAGAAAATTGGCCTGTGGAAAGACAAGAGTTTGCGATTTAGGGGTCAGGGTTTGGGATTGGAGGTTCTGGGTTTTAGGTTTAGGGTTTAGGGCTCGGGGGTTAGGGTTGGGTTTACTGCACAATGTGTCTGCGGCGAGACAGACAGTCTTTGCAAGCGAACGGCATATTATGGTATACTTTATGATGCTTGAATATACACGCATATAAATGTCAGGGGATCTTAGAATAGGGTTTCGGGGTTTTGGATTTTGCCAAGGGGCTGCTGGAAAGTATGCCGTGGATCGAGGTCAGGGATCTTGCTCGATTTAGGCATTCTTGAAGGCAGGCTTTTGCATTTGTTGAAGCTTTGGATGTTCGATGTAACTTCAACTTTCAACTTCCAGTAAGTAAGCCCTGATCTACTCAATACCCGAATTGCGACGGGCAGCTCCTTCCTCAACACCAGATACAGCAGCGTCACTCTCAACCTTGAACCCGAAACCCCAAACTTCCCAAACCCCTGCCGCTAAACCGTAAACCCTGTTCCTCAAACCCCAGACCCTAATCCGCAAACCCTATACCCCACATCCTCTATTAGACGCTAAATAATCTCAAATACCGATTCTTTGGGACCATATACCCCTATTTGAGGGTACAAGACCCCTGATACCCAACCCTAAACCCTAAACCCGAGTAGCATTGCTTTGTTTCTGTCTCGCTGTCTTCGTGCCCAATCGTCCGTGGGAGAGCCGTCATCTGTCTGAGGAGCCGGGCCTCTCGACAATCTGGGGCTCCTACATGGGTTTCATAGGTTTTCATGGGGTTCCATTAAGGGCTTATAGGGTTTTGGAGAGACAGTTATAGTAATCAGATACCCTGGTTGTCCTTATTCCAAGAGCCCTGAAAGAGGTAAACCCTTAGACCTAGTATAGGCCGTGTAAACCCCCGACAGAACACCTAAACCCTAAACCCTGAAACCCTTTAAACCCTAGGCTCTTAAGAGCTAAAGCCCTACCCTATACTGAACTTAGAACCCTAGCAAAAATCATAAATTTGGCTGATTCTTAGGGAATTTAATAACCAAAAACTAAACATTATTTCTGTACCCCTGGCGACCCGAAGATGGCCCTTGTCGACAAAACGAGGTTTGGGCAATGTCTGTACTTGGAGGGTCGGGGGACTTAGTAACTGGTTATTTTAGGGACTTATAAGTACCATAACCCCAATTAGGGTCCCTTTTAGGGTACTTATAAGTCTACTTACTATCTACTTACTAAGTCCCCCCGACCCTCCAAGTAGATCTCAAAACCAACGGTTACGCGGGTTATGCCCCGTGGTTAAGTTTTTTTAATGTGCCCACGGTTAGGGTTTAGGGTTTAGGGTTAAGTCCCAATGGTTAAGCGGTCATAGCCAACTATTTTGGTAGAGGTTAGGGAAGTACGCAGGGCTTTGGGGTTTGGCGGCGAGGGAGGGAGACCCAGGTTAGGGTTTAGGGTTTCGGTTCTTAGTTCCTTTCATGTGGATGGCTGTCAAAATTATGGCCCCTTTTTGGGTACCCTAAATATTAGGTGCCGTATTATCATAAGGACCCAAAAAGGGACCATAATTTTGACAACCACCCATATCATCAACCTTATAATTGGTGCGGTATTATATTAGGGATCTAAAAAGGGACCATAATTTTGACAACTACTCATGTAAGGTTAAGCAGTCGGGTCGGAGGTTAGCGGTTCAGACTTTGGGTGAACGGTTCACGTTGGGGAGGGTTCGGCAACAGGGTTGGGAGTTTGTGGTTTAGGCTTTAGGGTTCGGGTTTGGACTCGGTTGCAGGGTCCTTACCCCTTACGGCAACATGTTGTTTTGGCTGCCAGAGCATGTCGCAGGACGCCAATTCTACAGCATGGCCTTTCGCCGACATGGCAACCTCAGTCAGCCGATGAGGCAGCCATGATGAGGGCAACTTTGCTGGATGCCCAGCAGGTCTCCGACCTGCTGCAAAACTCGAAACCTGAAACCCTACCACAACAGCCCGCAGGTATACACACTTCTTACTAAACAGTAACAGCTCGGTTCCAAAATAGCGGAGGCTAGTTGCAGGATACTCAACCCTAAACCCTAAATGCAACACTAGGTGGGGCTTTTAAAGCAATTAAAAAATATTAGTAAATAAGATCCTCTTAAGCCCAATAAGGGAAAATATAAAATGTCCCAAAGCCCTAAACCCTAAACCCTAAATGCAACAGTATTTTGCGAATTACAACCGCTCCCACCCCTCTCTAGTGCTCCCATGCAGACCGCGCGCTGCGGTCCATGGGCTGAGCCATGCTTCGGCTGATGATATAAATCCTGGGTTCGTTTAAAGGGATCTACATGGGTACCTTTAAGGGGCTGCCTTAAGGGATCGATAGGGGGTTTAGGGTTTAGGATATAAATCCTGCATTTCCCGTAATAAGGAATATACCATTATTCCCATAGTTCAGGGCCCTTAAGGTAATTGCAGGATTCATATCATCAACCGTTCATCTTGTCCGGTGGAACTCCCTGAGTCCTTGGGTCGGCTAGGAGGACGTCAAGGACAAAAACAAATTCCTTCATTCAAGGACCTCAAGGACGAAATGCACCCTAAAAGGGTTTAAGGTTCATATACCATATAGGGATTCATAGTATATGGGTATAGGGCCCCTACTTTTAAGGGTCATTTGGTCCTTCAGGGATTCTCAATCCTTGGACTGGCTACTGCAGGTTCAACGACTACTACTCAATCCTTGGACGAAGGAGAATGACCTTGACTTTGAGAAGCCACTCTCCAGGCCATTCTGACCTCACTCGTTCGATACATCTTGCGTGAACTCGTGTAGTAGGCGCAGTACATCCTCGTGTTGCTTCATACGTGCCATGGACAGAGGGCTCACACCGTTTTGGCAGGCCTTGTTCTTGTCGGCACGCGCCTCTAAAAGGACACGGACGACTTCTGCGTCACTGCCTTGGCATGCGAAGAACAAAGGTGTCAGGCCATCACGCTGCGCCTGGTCCTTGTCAGCATTGGCCTCCAGCAGTAGCCGAATGATCTCTACGTAGCCAAGCGCAGAAGCCATGGACAGAGGAGTTCCTCCGATCGGGTCGGTTTTGTTGCTGTCTGCCCGCTCAGAGAGCAAGAGGCGTACGACCTCAACGTAGTTGCTTTGGCAGGCGATAATCAACCTGGGCTGTTCTAGGAGGCCTCATTCGGCGCATTTCTTGTGCTGAACACTTAAACTACGCCGAACTTCTACTACAGTATATACTATAAACTCTAAACCCTAATCCTAAACTAAACCCTATAGAGGTTCTAAAAAAGCGTTTCTGGAGAGCGGCCTAGCAACGGCGTCGGGCCATCCTTCACGTCCCTGTCCTGATCAGCCTTGGCTTCGAGCAAGAGCCGTGCAATTTCCAGGTGTCCGAACTGACACGCGACCTGGGCTCCCAGAGACTCCAATACTTGGAGGGTCGGGGGACTTAGTAACTGGTTATTTTAGGGACTTATAAGTACCATAACCCCAATTAGGGTCCCTTTTAGGGTACTTATAAGTCTACTTACTTTCTACTTGCTAAGTCCCCCCGACCCTCCAAGTATTCCTTAATTAAGGAATATACCTTAAATTATGGTAGGATCCCTATTCTGATGTAAGGTATTCCTTAATGAAGGGATATTGGAGTGTCTGGGCTTCAGGGTTCCTTTATGGGTTCCGTTAAAGGTTCCTTTAAGGGCTCCTTTAAGGGCTCCCGTAAGGGATCTAGAGGGGTTTTAGGCTTTAGGGCGGGAGTTTCCGAAAATTGGGGGGTACCTTAGGTCTCTACTATAAGGGTTCTTTTAAAGGTCTCTGGGCTTTACGGTTTCGTTTAGGGTTAGGGCTGCTTTAGGGATTAAGACTTAGGGATCAGGGCATAGGGTCTAGGGTTTAGGCTTTAGGGCTCAGGGCCTAAGGGTTTCAGGGCTTGGGGTTTAGGGGATACCTGGGGTCTTGTTGAAGAGCGGCATTAACTTTACCCCGATAGGGAAAGCATTACAAATGCTGTATATCATAGATAGATAAATAGATAGATAGAGAGAGAGAGAGGGAGATCGATAGATAGTTAGCTAGATATTTAGATACATGGTCAGATAGATATAAATTGCAAAAAGATTAGAAGAGAAAAGTATGTACATATTTAGTGTGTCCAAATGTATGTATGTACGCATGTATGTAATTACGTCGGTATGTATGTGTATATATGTATATATACATGTTTACATACCCATGCCTTTGACTCCTTCATTGAGCGCCTCAGAATTCCCTAAACCGTAAACCCCTAAACCCTAAACCCCTAAACCGTTCCTGAAGCAAGACAAGGCCACAAACAAGGGGGTTGCTCCATCGTCACAGCGGGCGCTATCTGTCTCAGCAGAAGCCTCCAGCAAGAGCCTTGGCCCCCGGTATAAAGCCCAAAAAAACGTTTGGGCTTATAGGGTTTAGGGTGTACCTGGACCCCAAATTATGTAGAATAATGGCCCTTTATAGGCTTTGGGCCATTACTTTGCCTACTTTTGGGGGTCTGGGTAGTACTTGTTGATATTATTCAGCAGCTTTTGATGGGGAGGCCCGGTACAACTTGGGGACCTGGATTAGCCTATAAAGCCACCTGTCAAACCTATACATAACCACTTCGAGCTAAGGAGCCGGACGATGTCCAAGCGGCCGTGATAAGCGGCACAGAACAGCGGCGTGCGGCCGCGGACAGGAAGGTTTGGATCTTGGGGCCGCTGCCTGGGCTTGGGTTTGGGTGGGCCATAAACCGCAGACCCCCAAACCGTAAACCCTAAATCCGAACCTCTTAACCCTAAAACCCCTAAACCGTGCAACCGAATCATAACCTTATCGGAACCCTTATACGTACCCTTCAAGGAACCCTTCAAGGACCGCTTAAACCCTAAGCCTCTAAACCTCTAAGCCCTTACAGGGAACCCTAAACCCTGAAAGGAACCCTAGACCCTGAAAGGAACCCTAAACCCTGAAAGGAACCGCTAAACCCGAACCACTAAACTATTAAGCCTTTAAATGAACCTTTTTGGTAATCCTTAAATAACTCCCTTCTGCAGGGACCCTCACCACTAAATCTGTATAGCTCCCTACAAGGAACCCCAAACCCTAAACCTTTATATCGGGGTTCCGTATTCTAATTATAGTATATGCTACCCTGTTCTCATCATTAAGGCCCCTATATTAAACACCTAAACCCACCTACTTGTCGGGTATCATGGGGAACTACAGGTTAGCCTTTTTATATATAGGGATTATATAGGAACTATACTACCCAAAAAAGGTTAAAGCGCGACGTGGAATAAGCTGCGTCCCCGGCGAAAGCCAAAAAAGGCTAAAGGTTGCCTACTCTACGACTAGGCCCATAAACCCTAAACCCCTAAACCCTAAACCCCTACACCCCTGAACCCTTAAAGCGAAGCCCAGTTGCAGCAGGAACTCCACGAGCGTTGCGTCGTTGCTAGTCGCAGCGGCAACGAGCTCCAGAGCCCTGTCCTTTAAGCCGGAGCCTATAAGGGTCCCTTAAACTACGAGTTTAGGGTTTAGTGTTTAGGGGTTGATGATATAAATCCTGCATTACCCATAATAAGGAATATATGGGAATTCTGGTATATTCCTTATTATGGGTCATGCAGGATTTATATCACCAACAGTACTTCATTGTTAGGATAGGACTAGAAATCTACATTCCTATTTCTTATTGGGTTTAAGTACCAAAAAACATGCAAAAAGTTACCAAGCTATGACAAAGTAAAGGGGTTTGTAAAGGAGTCCTATGAGGGTTGCTTGAAAGGGGTCCTTAAGGGATCCTCCTGAACTTTAAGGGGTTTAGGGGTTTGGGTGTTTGGGGTTTCGGTGTTTGTACTTAAAGGATCATGGAACTTAGTAACTAGGGTTCCTTAAAAGGATCCTTGAAGGGATCTGGAGAGGTTCCATACGAGGGAGGTGGTTATAGAATATAGAAGGGTAGGGTTTCAGGTTTAAGGTTCCACGAGGGATTTGGGGTTTAAGGGTTTTTTGGCTTAGAGTACTATAAAGGTGGGCTATGGGCTCTAAGGGTTCAGGGTCAAGGGTTAAGGCTTTAGGGCTTAGGGTTTCCGGTGCCGTAAGGGTTCTAGAAGGTTCAGGGCTAAGGTGTAGGCGCGAGGTTTACGGGTGCTACAAAGGTCAGGTTTTTTTTATTAATGGTACTATAAAGCTTTAAAACAGGCACCATTACTTGGAGGATCGTGGGACTTAGTAAGTAAGGCTATATGTTCCCTCATTGGGAATAGATGTACTTATAAGTAAAACTACCTAACTTATAACCTTACTTACTAAGTCCCCTGTAAACGCTAAACCCTGCGGTAAACCCTAAACCCTAAACCCCTGAACCCTAAACCCTGGTCGCACCTGTCCTGAGATGTCGGACCAAACTCCAACAGCACCTAGGTTGGCCCCTTAAAGCCTCTGAAAAATATTCGTAGATAGGGTCCTACTAAGCCCAATAAGGGAAAATATAAAATGTCCCAAAGGCCTACCTAGGCACCAGTTGCAACTCGGTATGTCCATCGAGCACGTCATCGTCCTGCAAGGTCGCTCCTGGGTCGACAGGTTTAGGGGTTTAGGGTTTAGGGGTTTAAGGTTTAGGGGTTTAGGGGTTTAGGGGTTTAGGGTTTAGGGGTTTAGGGTTTAGAAGTTTAAGTTTAGGGCTTAGGGGACAGATGCGGATCGGGTAATATGGAGGCCTTAATACTTAGAATAGGGTTTTGGGTTATTAAGCTATAAATATAGTAACTCCCCGGTTCTTGAGTAGGGCCTTTATAATAAGGGTGCCCTTTTTCCTAACACTCAAGTTGAATAAGGAGACCCGAAACAAACAAGTGCAAATGGGTACTACTCAGGAACCTAGACTGTTACGGCTTATATATTAGCACAAAGATGCAGCTCTGACTTGCAAGGCTTCGCGCTTAGGGCTTCCTTAAAGGATCATGAGACTTAGCAAGTATTGGGGTTATAAGTCCGCTAAGTGGGGATATCGTAATTAGAACCTACTTATAACCTTACTTACTAAGTCCGCCGACCCTGGCGGCGTGTTGGATGGGTTTCGATGGGCTGGGAGGTGTTAACCTCCTCCCACACCGAAATCCCGGGCGCACCCTAGGGGGGGGGGGTTCCCGGGTTCAAATCAGGTCACTTTAGGACCCACCCGCCTTGCCCCCCTTCTTCCTCTTCTACCTTGGCATCTCCGCTCCAAAGTGCTCCTTGTTCCTACTTCGCGTGATCGTCGCGCAGCCTCGCGTGCTTCCGCCTCTTCCCCCCGCTTTGTCTCACAATCTTAGAAGCGCACCAGCGAAGCTTGTCAACTTGAAGGTTCCCGTTTAGTCTCACAATCTTAGAAGCGCACCAGTGAAGCTTGTCGGCTTGAGGGTTTAGGACCACTGTGACTGCGAGTAGCGGCTCAAAACTGGCGCACAAAAACTGGCGCCCGTTTTTTGAGCTCGTCGCCAAGAATGTGTCTTTCTTGTTCCTTTAGGGTTTAAGGCTCAGCGGCCTTCGACAGAGGTAGCATGCGGGGAAACCAGGTTGAACTCGTGCTGCCCCTGCTTATCTTGGCGTCTCCTTCTAGAACTAAACCTTCGGGCCTCGCGGACACGTAAAAAGACTTTTCCTGTACAAGTGCATTCGGCTTCTGGTCTGTCGCCCACGGGGTCGGCGGCTTGAGCCGGAGGCTCTTAAATCGGGCAGCGCTTCGCTGCCCTGTATGGACTGAGCTATGGCTCAGACGAATTGCCTTCTCTTGCGAAGCAAAAGCCACGACGGCTTGTGCCGCCGACCTGCCGCCGACCCCGCATCATCGGACCTCCGTTTCTCCATCGGGCCGCGCGGGCCCTGGCCCGGAGGCGTCTCGGAACGCGCACGCGCTTCGCAGCCATTCCCCACGGCATGGCGGGTTTCGGGGCCGCCGTGGACGACCCCAGGAGGCGAGCCGGCGAGCATCATGAGCACTCGGGCGCCCGCAACCGGCCCCGCGGCGCGAAGTGGGCGCGAAGTGATGATTTCCAAGTTTTTGCGTGGGTTGCGGAAGCCCCAAAAGGGCGCGCATCATCAGCATCAGCGGGGTCCGGCGGAGGGCGGATGCGGGCTACATGGAGGGCCGACGAGGGCTAAGAGCGTAAGATCACCCATAAGTTGTGCACTCCGGGCCTACGTCACACTTTTGTTCCGGTGTCGAGCTGTCGTTGTCTCGGCACCGTCTGGAAATTTTGACCGTGTCTTTCCCGTTCCCCCGCTACATCCGCTGACAACAACTCGCGCTGCCCGCACCTGGGCGCAGCCCCTAGAATTCCATGAGCCGTTCAGTAGGGTCCAGGTTGAGGGTGACTTAGGGTTCAGGTTTGGGGAAGGCCTGTCCTTGATAGGAACTTGTCTAATATGAGAGCCTTACTAGTTAGACTAGGGCTCCTTGAAGGGGTCTGGGTCTATAAGGGATCTATACATATAGAGCTATAATTTAGGGCCTTCATAATTAGGATATGGTTTTGGTGTATCTTGTACTATAACTCGAGAAAAGAACCCCCAAAATACTATAGGCAATTATTGAAGCATGTAAAGGAATCAGGGCCAAGTGTCCGTCTTCACTCAAAAGCCTTTGTCGAAATCGTGACTGACCACATCGACACTCCAGATGCCGCTTCAAAGAGCGAACCTCACATTCGCAGCTCCCTCCTCTTTCTTTCTTTCTTTCTGTGGCCCAAGGCATGTCATGGCGGATCCAGCCCGGTCGTTAATTACTTTCTATCTCAAGAAAAGCACTCTAAAATCGAAACCGAAGCGGAAGAATTACCAATACTATTGTGGTGGTCGCTCAGTCTTATAGGAAAATCTACCCCAAAACCCCGGCTTGGCGTTCAGGACGGTAAACTTCAGGCTTCAGCACTTGAAGCTTCCCAGGTTCCGGGCTTCGGGTTTCCCGGGGGTTTAGGGTTTAGGGGACTTTGAAGTAACCAGGGAGAAAAAAGTATAGACTTGTATTTCATTATGGTTCCTTGAAGGAACAGGTACCAAAGAAAGTATTCAAGTATGGTACTCCCAACCCAGGGGTTTCCGGATATTTTAGTAGGAGCTTGGGTTTCGGGGTTCAGGGTTTGCGGAATAAGAAGTTTAGGGTTTGGGCTTAAGGGCTTCGTATTCCTGGCTGCAAGGGTGTGGGGTTTGGGGGGCCGTAGGATTGAAGGTCTTAAGGCTTGGCTGCAGGATGAGCCCGACAGAGTCGGATTGAAATCCTAGCTTTTGCGACGGGATCTATATTAGAGTTTCCGAAAATTGGGGACCCTAAAATTTAATCCTAAACAGAAGGATCCTTATCATAAGGACCCCAAGATACGGTACCCCTCATTTTCGGAAAATCTATACCCTTATAGAGCCCTTTAAAGGAACCCTTCTAGTACCCTTATATTAACCGTTTAAAGGACCCCTCATTTTCGGAAACTCCTCTATGTGGAAGCCCAGAGCTCTAGATTTAGACAAACAGAGACACCCGAAGGCCAGCTGCTCTGACATCGGTTTAGGGTTTAGGGTTTAGGGCCCAAAAACGCAGAACACTATACGCCGAAAAGAAGTAGAAGCTATCTACTTAGGGTTTAGGGTTTAGAGCTTCTACACCCTAAAGCCCTACATCATGAAGCCTATAGGCCCTCTAGCCCCGAACTCCAAACATCAAAGCCCTCTACCCACCCTGGGCCTCGCCCCTGCAGAGCCCTGAAAGTGCCTTGCAACGGCACCCAAAGCCCATCCAGCACTACTGTAAAGACGGTTTAATGATTTGAATAGGATTTGGGGTTTGTCATAGCATAGCCATAACAAGGCTAAGGAGCCCTGATAGATTGAACTCTAAACCCCAAACCCCTAAACCCCTTATGAAACCCTGATAGCACCTGGTAAGGAGCCCTAAGCCCTAAATCCTAAACTAAACCCTGAACCATACACTCTGAACCCTAAACCTTTAAACCCTAAGCCCTAAACCTTAAAACCCTAAACCTAAACCCTAAACTACACCCTAAGCCCTAAACTAAACCCAAAACCCCAAACGGTACTTTTCTCAACCCAGGCGCAGGATGCTCCGGATGTTCTGACCAGCCAAGCGCATCGGAAAGCTCCCGAAGCGGCAGAGCAGCAATGCTCCCACCGGACATCATCCGAACGCGAAGCATTTTTGCCGTCAGGGTACCCTAAACCCTGAGCCCTAAACACCTAAACCCTACAGTACGAATTACGCAAATTTATTTTGGCTCTGGGGTGTGAGGCCTCTACGGGGTTTGGGGTTTGGGCTGCTAATATCTGCTGGTATGCAGTGGTATGGGTCTGGGATTTCGGGTTTGGGATCGTTTAGGGCTTTAAGGTTTAGGGTCTAGGTAAGGGTTTAGGGTTAGGGCTTAGGGCTTGTAATTGCATGAACAGTGCTTGCACCGCTACTTGACCAGTACTTCCGAGTGCGTATTGCCGCTGATGCTACTATGTGCTGGTATCATGTTGTATGCTATTGCCCTTCGCATTGCAAAATCTCGCTCGAGCAGTCAGAGTACAACCCCAAAGAGAGAAGAATCAAGTTCCGTAAGGGTTGGTTGGGTAGACCCGAAACCCAAATCCAAACATCCTACTCCCAAAAAACCCTAAATCCCAATCCCTAAAACCGAACCCCTAAATCCTGAATCCCTAAATCCTGAACCTCTAAAGCCGAAACCCTAAATCCTGAACCCTAAACCACAAGTCAGAAACTCTCTTCTCCAATAACCAGGCCCAAAAAAAGTTCAGACTTTGTAAAATAGACCAACTACATAAAGCCAAAAAGTTTAAATTTCTCCAATTGGCTAAGCAAGGAAACTAAGCTCAAATCGACTCCGGGATTGACGGCAGATTTCAAAGTTGCTCACCGGGTGTACTGTAGGGGCCTTAATAATTAGAATAGGGTTCCTTTGAAGGGTTCCTTGAATGGGTCTATAAAGGGATCTATAGCTATAATGTAGGGGCCTTAATAATTCGAATAGGGTTTTGGGCTCCTTGGTAGTATACTTATAATGAGGAGCCCTAAGGAATAATGTAGGTAATTATTAAGGCCCCTAAAGTACGTTTTGAGCTGCGGGGCTGAGAGCTCTCATCCTCTCAACTTCTTGAAAACTGAAATTTTAGGATCATGCTTTTTCTGTGGTTTCGGAATTTTGCATGTTTCTTTTTTTGTATTTAGCCTAAACCATAACACACCCAAAAGCCCTAAAGTCCGCAAGCCGTAAAACCCAAAACCCTGCAAACCACCCTAGAACCCTAAGCCCGGAACACCTGAATCCTGGCAGCCTCGAGCCGCGTTTGCCGGCATCTGAGGGGCCAGTCCAAGGCCACCTAGCTCCGAAGATTCGGAGGTTCAGGATTTAGGGGTACCTTAGAGGATTAGCATAATATTTGGTTTAAGGCTTAGGTTTTTAGGGGCCTTGGGGTTTCCTTCAAGTTATTTACGTGTTCCGAGAAGGGTCCTTTAAAAGGGTTCTATAAGGGACCTTTGACCTCTAAGTCTCTGCGGGTTCTGTTTTTTGAAATGTGCTAACGCAGGTCCGCCTCTGCAGGCACACACTGGGTGAAACGATATATCCACCCTGCATATACTGGATCTAATTTAGGGTCTTAGGGATCCTTTGTGGCTTACCGAAGTAGGGTACTGGGTTGAAAAAGGGTTACTACAAGTAGGGTGCTATAGCGCTTACAGAAGAAGTTCTTTGAAAGGCTTATGTAGGGTTTAGGGGTTCTAGAAGGGTTACTACAAGTAGAGTACAATAGGCTCGTAAGGGTTGTTTTAAAAAGTTCTATAGGGGCTTCTACGGGTTTTACGGTTTCCGATTTACAGGTTTTGGGCGACCTAGGTCTCTGGGTTTAGGACTCATGATTTAATGGCTTTGCAGTTTGTGGCTCAGGGCTTTGGGTTTTTCAGTTTTGTTTTGTTTTGTAGGTGCAGTGGCCTCTCGCTCCACGCGGCAGTTTTGGGTTTATGGTTTAGGGTGCAGGATTTAGGGTTTAGGTCAGGGTTCATTATGCTTACGGATTCGGGTTTTGGGCTTTTTTGGGAGTTCAATGCCTCGGGCTTTGGAGTGCTGCAAGCACAAAAACAACTTCTACGACACCGGTCACGACAACAACAAACACACACAAGAAAAAGTTCAACAACAGCAACAACAACACCCCCACAACAACAACCACCACCGCAACCACAACCCCAACCACAAGCATTAACGCAACCACAAGCGTAACCTCAACAACCCTCACTGCTTTTGCACCGAAATGTTCTCTGCCGCCAATGGCTGCAATGCGGGATGGTCCCTAGTACCACTTGATTTCCACAGAGACTCCCATATATCGATCTTTTTATGAACTTCCACGAAGAGACTTGCTTGGTTTTAGTTAGTCTCTTGTATTTCAATGCTTACTTACAGGGGCTTTATGGTCTGATACCGGGTTGCTAAACATGTTTTCCTACTTGAAATGCATTGTTGCAGGATGCTACTAAACTGGCAGCTTTTATTCAAAGCTGGTTTAGGGGATTTGTCGGAGTCTCCCTGGATCATGGAGAAACGTGCATACAACTCCCGCGTAAGGCGCGGGGTTGAGGGTCTAGAATGGCCGCACAGCCCGGAAAGCATTCAGGTTTAGGTTTTCGGTGTACCCGAAATGCCGAACATCGAAAGATAAATCCCCTGATCCCCGAATGTCAGAAGTTGGGCCTTCATTCGGTTTAAGGTGTGCCTCAACCACCATAACCTACTTTTTTGCAGGCTCATACTAGGAACCCTAGTATAGATTTTATAGGGACCCTACAAGAAAGTAGGTTTTGTTAAGTTGGTGAACGTAGGGCAGGGTTTGCGGCTGAGTTAAGCCGGAGCCCAAAGCGATTCAGCATAACACCTGCTGCGAACATACTGGCATAAAATCCGCATGGGTTTAACCCTATTAACAATATTTAACAAAAGCTTGTATTTCGTGTTTTACAAGGTTCTATCTGATTTAAGCGTCGCCTCATTAATTAAAATGGTGTTCCGGGGTGTATTGTACTACACCTGCTATAAAGAGCCGTAAGGAATAGTCTTGCTAGCTCTATAGGATCCTCGCTGTGGCTATCGCCGATAAGACCATGCGGCCATAAGGACCACCTGTTGTTGGCATTGTTCTCAAGACTGTTACTATTACTGCTCCTGGTTGGTTATTGCTGTCACGACGCTTGCCACAATGACAAGTAGTACTGATTGCAAGTATAGTTGCCTTCTCTGCCTGGAATGGAAACCCTAACCACTAAACTCTCCACCCACCCAAGCCCCTAAAAACGAAATCTTGAAGCCCTACCCCGAAGCGCTGAAACCTAATCCCTCAGCCATATGCTCCTAACTGCCGAAGTGAAAACACCTAAATGCCAAGCACGAGATATAGCATCGCCACTGCCACCCGGCTAAGCTACATCTCCGTCGCCCGCTCGCATGATAGTGTCTTGTTTGTCGAGGATGTGAACCGCCGTGCCAGCAGGTGGCGGCTCTGTGCGCGGCTGGGAGTCAGACACAATCGCATCCGGTTGTAGACATGGAGCAGCATGCACCAGAAAGCCAACGAGAAAGCTCGTTGGAGTACTGCACAGGGGTTGGTCATGTCCTCGTGAGTGACGACACCGCCCTCCGTTATGACGTCCAGCGCTGAGTCCGACATGTGCTCCTGGCAAACGCAAACATGCCTTGTCCTTCGCCGCCCGAAGGACCCACGCGGCGGAGGGGGAGTCTGTGGGCGCCCTGCGGGAATTGTACACTCCGCCGTCCTGGGAGACGGGACATCCACTGAGCTACCAAGAGGCTTTGAGATGGCCTGGCGAGTCCGTCATTCCGAGCTTGTACAGTTTCGTTGGCCGGTGCTCGCCGGAGTTCATTTGGAACACGGCACCTCACGAGCATACCGAATGGTTGCATCCATCTATCCATCTCACGACAAAGCTATCAACGCTGCTTCTGCCAGCGAGGCGCCAAGCTCGCGCGACAGCCGGCAAGCAGCGCAGACGCAGGGAACGACCAGCCATGCTCGGTCGTTCCAACAAACGTGGTATAAACAACGGCTGGGCTCCAAGCAGAAGCAAAACAAGTCGCGATTCCTTGCCTCGGCGGCGTTGCGATTCCTTGAACCGGCTGCCTTGATCATGGAAGCAAAGTCTCAACTGTTCTGCCCCCGAGATTAAACGCAGCCTAAAGACCGGACGCGTGCCTCTGCCGTGCCAGGATGGAAGTAATAGATTGGCAAGGACAACAGAACATCATCGCGGCCTACCAATACGGCTATGGATCACATGGGGATCCCTCACTCAACATGCTACTCTAAACCCCCAAGCCCTAAACCGTAGCTACTGTGAGAGGAATGAATATCGCCTTTCACGCGTCGATATGGACTGACCCCTTTTCGTGAAACCCTAAGCTCTAGACACTTAGGGTTTGGGGATTACCCTAAACCCTAAACCCATTAGGTTTCAGGGTTTCTATAACTAACTAAAAGATAGGCTTAGGGCTGCCACACCTAAACTTAATTTGGGATTTACTTCCGGCTTCGGTGCTTGGGTGGCCTTTACTCTAGCCCCCTTGGAACCATAATGAAAAATATAGGGTTTAGGGTTTAGGGGTTTAGGGTTTAGGGTATTCTCTTGGGTTCTATATGAACAAAAAACAGCTCCTAAGGAGACTAAAGATTTTGTTTTTGTTTGAGGGCCCCTTTTCTACCTGTCGAGCAGCCAGAATTCCTTTACCAAGGTTTATCATAGGGATCCTTAGGGGTGTAGGGGGGGAGGGGTGTAGGGGACTATATTTCCTTAAATAGGCCTTATTAGTCCTTATTATGGGCCTTAAGGCCCCCTACCCCCCCTCCCCCTACACCCCTAAGGATCCCTATGACTTTACCAAGGTTTAGGGTTCAGGATGGTCTAGGGATAACTAGTTAACTACGCTCGAAACCTCTGAGACCGGGGGGCCCTGAACAATTAGAACACGGGTTTAGGGTTTAAGGTTTAGGGTTTAGGGACGGCTTCGGCATAAACTGTATGCTAGGTATACCACACTATGATATGAGCAGTACAGGGGGATGCTAGATGTCCAGAATCCTGAGGCTGCCCAGTAGCCCCTGAATATGAGGGTATACAACTTTTTCCGAC